ACCTCTTATTAAGACTTTCACAGAGTTTCCGAAGACAGATCCTCTGTCCCATGGAAGCCAGAGAATGTGAACCAAGAAAAAAGGGGGAAATGAAAAAGCAGAAAGAAGAAAATCTTGACTGAAATGTACTCCTCTCCTGTGGGTTGCAGAAATCAAGCTACCTGGTTTAGGCTTTCTCTCCCTGTCCAGAAGTAGCTTCAAGGGTACCAGGTAAGCATCAGGCAGCTTTGAAATAGAGACAGAACATGAGCTAATCTCCAAGGGGAGGAACTGAGTAGGTCCTGCTACTCCAGATCATATAAAAACTTAGTTTCTTTTTAAAAGAACACTCCCATGAATGCTTCTTAAATGAAATGATAGATACCAAATTTGGATTTGAGTGTGTGATTTCTCACTCGTTTGAGGGGATCCTAGACTACTATATCCTAGGAATGCTAGACTACATAGTGCAGAGCTGGGTGACCACACTACTCTTGCAGGAAAGAGGTCTGAATCCCCAACTGCCTAAAATGAGAAAAAACTGAATCCTCTCATAGATATTAAATGAAAGCAATACCTAAATGCCTGGGAGCTCTTCAGAAGTAGGAGTTCTATAGGCTCCTTGTCTTCTGTGTTATCACAATCTACCTTCTATAAGAAACATCTACTTTGAGGACTATAAATTTCTCTTGAGAACTCTGTGCATGGAGATCCAATAAATTCCTGGATGATTTAGGGAAAAATCGTTAATAGAATTTATGCTCTTACCAAAAAGGGAACTTTGCTTGCTGGTTTAAGACATAATTCTTATGGCAAATATCAAATTGGGCCTGGTTTAAAAGTTGGAACCTAGTTGCCCACAGGAAGGACAATCTGAATTCTATGCCTATGGAGAGGAATCCAGGTACTCACATATTGAAAGTGTCATAAGGAAACCCACGGCTTGATGCAATTTAATAATGCTAACAAGAAGGAAAAGAAAAGGAAAGGAAATACACAGTGTTTGGAGAGAAAGCACCAAACAGAAGTCCTGTTCAGAAGCCAAGATGCAAGTCCCTGTGCACTGACGCAAATAGTCTCTACCTCCACCACCATCACCCGTGCCTATCAGAGAGCATGACAGACTGCCATCCTCTCAGGTCCTCTCTTGTCTGGCCCTCCTAGGAGAGGCTTCATCTGCCTTGCTGGCATCTCCAATACTAAATCCCAAACAACACATAGGTGGAAAGGGTTTAGGCATGATGAACTATCAGAAAACCAGGAGGGTTGATATTTGAGATGCTCGGATGTTAATGGTTAACATAATTTAGTGTGGGGAGAAGCAGATGATCAAACTTGGGGATAACCAACTTCCCTTTGGGACCTTTCTGAATATCTCTGCGGGTCCCTTCCAGAAGAAACACACAGTGCAAAAGAGAATCCCAACCTGCAACTGGTTTGCTGATTCCAGGGAGACTTCTCTGACTCTATCACCATCAGATGGGTAGTTAGGGTGTATGACACACACGTGACTAAATCTGGAAAGGAATGCTTTCCTGGTAATATTCGAACAATGCCAAAACAGGTTTTGAAGTCCACACTGATGTTTTAATAATGGTACCCAATCTCGGAATTCCCCTTCCAGCCCTGGTAAGTACTAGTTGAAACATTACTTGGTATCAAATAATGTGGATCTTAAAGAAATAAAATCATATTGAGTGACTACAACTCATAAGGTCTCAGCTCAAGGTGACTTTTTTTTTGTTTGGCTCTGAGGTAAACACCTTGTGCACTTTAGCAAGTTGGTGCCCAACCAAAGCAGACACCAGACACTGTGGAGATGTTTGAGGGGGGCTCCTAGGACTGCTGGAATCTGATTTCACTGACCCATCATCCACAAATATTTCTATGCTCCCCTCGAAGCAAAGAATTTCAAAGATTGGAAATGCTCTCAGGTAAGTGTAAAGATTTTACTGCCGCTTTTGGTTCAGAAAAGAGGAACAAGTATCCCACCAGCCTTATTCTTGGATATAAAAGAACGGGAAGAAAGTATGTACACGCAAAAAAATCTCTTGGTTTCTGACCCAGAGTCCAGATTACTACTTGCATGGGAGGTGGATGAGACTGTCTCCATATTTCAGACTTAATTAAGCCAGTGTGGGCACATGAAGTCAGGAAGATGGCTGGAAGAGAAGCGCAGCTTCTCCTGAAGAACACAAACTTCAACTTCCTGACTTGTGTGCCTCGATCCTGCACCAGCGTCCTTCAAACACACCAGGCACAAAATATTCTCTGCTTTCCTTTTGCGGTCACTTTTTGTCAACAGCAACTTTTCTTCCTTTCCCTCCTCGCCTTTCATTTACTCTCTCCTAGCAAACAACCTTAGAATAAAGCGTAGATGGGACTCAAAATAGCCTTTCAAACTGAAGTAGACTCTAAGAGTCCATCTGTTCTAACTCCGTATATCTCGGGGAGGGGGGGAGGAAGGAGACTGATAATTAAAGAAATGTTGACTTAGCCACAATCACATGGGTTAGCCAAGCACAAAGACAGGGTTCTCAGTGGTCTTTCCGCTGTCTGATGCTCTTCCGGCAGGGCTCACTCATCCTCACTGCTGCTGTACAGCTCTTCCCTTGGTACTGATTTCCATAGTGTTTAGCACCAGAAGTACTTGCACTAGTGTGTTCCACAAGGTAAGCATCACCAGAGGTGAGCAACACTGTTCACCTCAAGCCCAGGAAAACGGAGGATCTTCGCCTCCGGCGAAAAGTTGTCTCTGGGAATAATGTGTGCATGATCCGCTGAGTGGAGGAAGGGCCAAAGTCCTTTGCCTATTGGCTAGTGAAGGCTGAGTGACCCTTGGCAACCGCTCCTCGTGCAGAGATGAAATCAGAAAGGAGCATCAGGCTCCTGGCCAGAGCACATAACTAAAAGGACCCTTGGCCATGACTCCTAGCTCTACGATGGGCAGCCATGTCACTCTTTGTCAGTTCAGGAGGGGTCCAGGTGACAGTGACAGGACACAGAGGTAAGCATGGCTTCCCCAGACCATTCATGAGCATCCACAGTGGAGTTGACTTCAAGCTAAGTACTAAATCAATGTGGCATGGTGTAGGCGCATTTACGTAGGAAGCAGGATGGAGCAGGTGGCAGCAGGTACATGGGCTTATGGGATGTCCATTCTAGACTCATCGGACCACATTAGACTCTTTAAAAATAAATAATAAATAAATAAATAAATAAACCACCAATAACAATTTTCTGGTATAGGGGAAGACTGGGGTAGGGAATGAGAGAGAATGTCCCCTCCACCCCGAGCTAAAGTAGTCTCAGACACTTTAGGCTCGTGCATGTTTTGACAAGGGAGGAAGAGGAGGATCAGACTGACTTGCTGGAACCAACCCCAACCCAAGTACAGTGCGTCCTCAGAGACAACCGCCTTCTGCTCGCACTAGGCCAAAGGAGGATTTTCTAGGCATTTCAGGGCGATGCGAAGAGCAAAAGGGGCACAGTGATTCCGTGCTGTTAGGCGCTAAAGACTGAGAGCTAGAATAGGATGAGGGCATGACCAGGGCCCCCCTTACTCTGCACATAAGGAAAACACGGCACAGTGAAGTGAGTCATATGCATCCCGTGCCAGCACAGAGGAGTTAGACACTCTGCACACCCCAGAGCCCTAGGATACACATCACTATCCAAAGCCTGTTCTGCGTGTCCTTACCCTCGGAAGCAGCCGCAAGCCCTTTCTCCACCGTCCAAGGTTCACAGGGAACACCTCCTGTATACAGAGAGGCTGCCGGGAGAGGAAGAAGGCTGACCCCGTTCTGCACTCCTCCTAACTCCACTGCTCCCTCTCACTTACTGATACACAGGCGGCTGATACAATGGAGGATGTAGAGAGGAGGTAGCCCGGCTGCCAGTGTGGAAGTTCACGGAAGTAGCGCAAGGACCCTCGAACAAGTTCAGCCTTGTCATTTCTCCCAGCTCTCTCACTCAGGCTCGAAACTCCAGACTTCCCCTTCTTCCCGCACCCCTGCTCACCTTGGAGCATCACCTCTAACTAGGAACCCCTTTCTCCTCAGCCCCCACCCCCAGTCATCCCTTCCCTGGGGATGTCTCCTCCTTGGCTATCCAGATAAAAACCAGGATGGAAAACTACCACCCAGCGCTCACATCCCCAGCAGAGACCAAAGCCTCAGGTGGACCGATTCAAAGCGTAATAAGAGAAGTAATTGCCACAGGACAGCAAAGGGTTCTTTTTGGAAGGGATCAATCCAAAGAGCCTCTCCCTGACAACTTCAGGGCTGGGTACCCAGTGGAGTAAGAATTCCTAGTTGACCCAGCTCTCTCCCCAGTCCAGCTGAGCAGGCTTGCTCATCCCTGAATCCCAACCCCAGCTACAATCTGAGCACAGGTCTTTTCTAGTCGAATAAAAACATTTGTTGGTATTTAAAAAAAAGAAAAGTAAAGTAAAATCACAAACGCGTAATCCAGTCCTAAACCTGCCACGGAGTTGCCCATACTTCAGCTGCCTTTGACTGGCCGGGATATCTAGGCTGCAGACAGTATTTTGGCTGGCAAGGAACGGGATGTCGGCGGTTCCTGGGAGTTTCTGGTAAGAAAATGTCTGTTAGGTAGTTCTGTGCTTGGGATGAGGTGGAGAGACAGGTACCCTAGGAAGGGCACATCCCCTCCTCCCCAGCAAGATGGCTCGGTGCGGCTTTAGACTCCTGGGGGCGTTTCATTGTTGTGTGTGAGAGCTGTCCAGAGATGCCTCTTTTGTCATCCTCAGCAACACAGTTGGGAAGGCAGCGATTCTCCCTGGAGCTGGGGGCTTAGCGGACGGCCCCTGACCAGATGCTTCATTCTCACTCCCTGGTCAGCACTTGGTCCTCATTAGGATGACAAAATTGCGGCACTGGTCACTCATTCATTGGACAACTTCCAGAGAAGCTTCAGTGACCGCCCCAACTTTCCCCCGCCCCCCACACGCACCCAGCCCACAGAGCGATTTCTCAGTCCCTGCCTTTTTTCACAACAGCTCAAAGGCAGATGCATCAATCCTTCCAAGGGCTTAAAACGTGAGGAGAATGCCAAGGGCCCAACGCAGGTGCCAAGTAGATTCTCTGCTGGCTTTTGCCAATGCCAGTGTCTGGCTCCTCGAAACACACATGCCTCAGGCTCTTGGCTGGATTCCTTCCCTGGCAATGGGGTTTACCCAGGACTCGAGAGAACCTCAGGATGTGGGGCGAATGAGATAAGAAAATAAGATCCAAGGGGACGCCTAATTATGATCTACAAGCAAATAAGCAAATCCCGAAGCCCCGAAGCCTCTATGTCCACATTAAGAGACGACCCCAGAGAATATGGACTCGAAACCTCCCAACTCCCCAAGGGCATGAAGAGGCAAGGACAGGCCAAAGAGTCTTCCCAGTGATGGAAAGGTGAGTGGTAATGCCTTGATAGGATTCTCAACTGTTTTTACTTCCGCCGTTCGAGTCTTTAAATCCACCAATTCCAGTTCTTCAGGTTCAGAGGATCAAATCGCTTCAAACCCAGTAAGGAACTTGAGCGTGATTTACATCCAGAAGGTTGGGGTTTGCTCTTCCCAGAGTCCCCCGCCCTGACATGCTCGGCATTTAACCGGGCCGTGGATGGCTTTGCTCTTGTGGGATCTGGTGTTGGCTTTTGTTCAGTATTTACTCGTAGGTAGGTGTCATCGCTGATTCCCAAAATCATCAGGACTATATATTTGTAGAATGGAAAAAAATTAGAAAACTGCCCCCCAAAGAAGAAGAAAGGGGGAGGAGAGTGGAGGCGAAGGTCCAGGCAGGCCAGAGATATTTCCAAAGGGCCTGGACTTCAGAATTGTTTCCTTGCCAAGCACCGCCAATGGGTCACGCATGCGCATGGATGATTGTGCGTCACCGTGCCTTCCTCCCATCCTCCCTCTCTGCCTGTCAAGACGAAGAGCTCTGGAAAGCCAGGGCTGAAGAAGCATGGCCACAGCTTAAGTCAAGGGAATTTCATTTGTGTTAATAATAATATTTAAAATGTTTCTCAGTTGTTAATGTCTTATGGTTTTTCTGTATCAGCAGCGTCTCTATGTATTAGAGAAGGTAATTCTCTGTAGATATAGATAGATAGATAGATAGTTTTTTATATATATATAAATATATATGTCAAACTGCCTTACAGGGTTTCTTTCTCTTGTTTTGTTTTTTAATTCAGTGTTGTATGTGTAGCAGGCACTTGAATTTATATGAAGATGTTCATTTCAGTCAAAGCTGGAAGAAAGGAGTTGAGATGAGGAAAAAGTGGATATGAGGCAGGGAGAGAGGAGGCAACAGAGTATAAATGCTTGGCCACCAGTCCTACTAGCCGAGGATGTCCAGGTAGATTGGGGTGGCCTTCCCCAAAGCATGGAGGATTTTGTAGATATCTTTAATATTCAGCCGCTGTTGAGGCTCCCTCTGCCAGCACCCCAGCATGACGTCATATACCTCTTTTGGGCAGACTCGGGGTCTCTCCAAGACGCGGCCTTGGGTGATGCACTCAATGACCTGAGAAAGCAAGAATAGAGAGGTTATATCCAGAAATTCATGCAAAGCTCACCCTTGGTCCTGGGACTCCTACCTAACAACAGACACCAACTTAACTCATCATCGCCATATGCTCAGGTTGATGTCTGGGTAGGAGGCAGGACTGCTTTTCTTCTAAGCCTGTGTTGATGTTTTGTAAAGTATTTCATTGATATTCATTTTAAAAATTATTTTTGAGATTCTACAATAATTATAGCATTTATTCCTTCCCTTCCCTCCCTCCGAAACTCCCATATGCCTCTCCCCAATCTCATTCGAATTCATTGTCTCTTCTTTTATTGTTATTATATACATATAATACAAATGTATACACATAGGCATATATATTCTTAAATATAACCTTCTCAGTCCATATACCATCACTTGAATGCATGTTTTCAGGGCAGACCATTTGACAACCAATCAGGGCTCTTCCCTGCTCCCAGCTTTCCTTAGCTGCCCACAGTTTTTTGTGAGCTGCCAGAGTCACCACTCTTTGGGTGGCCCAGCCAGTTCAAGTCAGTTAACTTCCAGTGACCCCATCACCCTTGTCTGGAAGACTGGGGTCTGGATTTCTAGCAGGAGCAAATGCAACAAGAAAAACTGTGCTGTACCGAAGGAATGGCTTCAAGATGTAGGAGGCCCAGGTATGTTCTTTACACTTCAATTCCAATTACTCAAAGACATTTCCTTCTAAATGCTGGGAATTGAACCCAGAGCCTCAGGAGCAGGCAATTTTAATACTACTTATCGACCCTCTCAGTCCAGGTACATTTAAAAAGAATTATTTACTTTCTCATTGGTTTGTATCCATGCTACACAGTACTTCATTACCTAAGGACATTTTAACACAAGTATCTTGTACTCCGAAGTGTATTCCCACTCTAAGACCCTATTTCCCCATCTTTTCCTTAACTTTAACACTAGACTTTGCTTTTCTAATTAGAAAACGCAGTATTAATCTTCCTTCTGGCATTTTCGGTTTTATTTGGTTGCATTTATTCTCTTCCCGTCATTTTCCGTCCCTCCCCTTGGTACCACTTTTTATCCTTCCCCCACCTCCATAGCATCCTTTCTGCTCTCACATCTCATGTGTCCTATTGTCCCTCCCATAGGTGTCCCCCAGGGCCTCTTCTTCTCTTGCCATCGCCTACCTTCTGGTTTCATAACCCAATCCCATGCTCGCTCTTAATGTATACACAAACCTACAAACATTGGAAGCCAGGCTAGAAATCTCAGCATGCACGTTTCTCAAGAAGTTAGAAGCAATGCTGTCATATGACCCAGCCGCTCTGCTCCCGGGTAGATATACCTAAGGAGCTTACATCCTACCACAGACACTCGTATGCTTGTGTTTATGGCTGCATTATTCACAACAGCAAGAAAATAAACTCTGTTTTTAAAAACGTCGTGTTTAAAGAAAAGTCGAGGAAAGTATATATGGTTCCTATTACGATCTGCCATCTGCCTGCTATTAGCATATTACACACTGCATTTTGCTAATCCATTATTATCCAAATGCTATTGTTTACCCACACTGTCTTAGTTTTTAACCTCTTTCCTTTTTGCTATTCCAGGATTCCATCCAGAACGTTACATTATATCAACTCATGGCACCCCCTTCCGCTCTTCTAGGAGGTTAGACATTTCTTAACTGAAACTAAAATATCTGCATTTTTCAAAAAGGGAACAAAGCACTTTCTGAACTCTGGTATATGAGCAAATGCTTGCCTTGTCTTCCCCATTAGCATGCATTTTATTGGGTAAGAATATCCCTGTCTCCCATTCTTCCTCGGTTCTTCTCTGCTGCTGGTCCTCTGCCGGCCCCCCCCCCCCTCTATCTCAGCATCCTGCAGAACAGGGCCTTCTCCTGGGTTTCTGGGTATCTCACATCGCTGACCAGGAATGACCTTCACTGTGCCAGCTCCTACTATTCATATGCACCATGGAGACTGGGATGGCACTTTGCAATTATTTCTTTGTCAGCCTGGTAAGTCTCCAGGTGCTGTGTTTACCATGGCATCAGACCTCTCCCAGATTTCACCTCTATTCTCTCCACCTTCATGAAGAAGGATCTATGTCAAGCTGCAATAGCTGCTGCTTATGCTTAGACCGAAGACACCCACTGGCATCTTCTCTAAACTAGAACCAGCCAGGTTGTAAACATCCACTGTGTCGCCCATTACCAGTGACTGCCTATACCCAGCTGCTGCTGTAGATGGAGCAAGGGAAGGAGTTGAGGGAAGAAAGTCTGCCTTCAAGGGTAGGACCCTACAGCATCATCTTCGAAGAGGCTATAAGCACCCATCTTAGGGATCCATGACAAGGTTCTGCTAACACCAACATCACCCCCATCCAGGTATTCTTCTTTCTTTGGTTACCAAATACCATGGAGGTTGAGCCCAGGTGCAGGCATGTGTGTATTTGCATGCATATAAGTTCACATACATGTATCTATATGTGCAAATGCGTGTATATACCATACCCCCAGGGAAAGAGTACCAATTTAAATAAAATCCACAACAAAGAGCTTCTATATATACTCTTTCTTTATTCTCTAAGACCACTAAAATGTTTGTTCTACTTTGGAAATTGAGGCCGGGTCCCATTGAGTACCTGTATCGTAAGATATCACGGATATGAAGAAATGCCTTGTTTGGTTTTCAGGCAAACAAAGGATGACCTTGGGCTCATGATCTTGCCACCTATGTCTCCTGTGTGCAGGGATTACAGGCAGGGGTCGCCATGCCTGAATATGCAGCACAGAAGATCAAGGGCTTCTTGCATGTTAGGCAAACGGTCTACCAACTGAACCACATCCCCAGCCTTACATTTTGGTCGTTGAAATGTGCTTAAATGGTCAGGGACACTGAAGATTGGAAATGAACATAGCTTTTAAGAAAAGAATACTGTCTTGAATATTAAAATGATATCTTAATACAAAAATCCTTAGTGGTGGCGATTTCAAAAAATAAAAAGAGTGCAAAATGCTGACATTTTCTGTAAGTCGGCTGCCACAGGAGTCCCACCCATACTGTCTGCGGACTGTGCTGAATTCCTGGGTCAACACGGCTCTGTTCTGCACACAGATAAGGTGTGTCATTTAAAAATAGAAAACTCCTAAAACCACAAGCCAAGCCGTCTCCTTGTCTAGTACTCTCTGACAGACAGCTTCTTCCAAGATGCCAAGTAACCCCCTTTCTTTGTGTTTTTGTGAAGATTCTCAAGTTACTGCCCCAGAGATGCATAGAGAAGTACCCGTTGACAATCATTATTTACTGCCAAAATGCATCATCTACTGGCATAACTCATTACAAACTGAAATTACACAAATATGATAATATTAATTATTGTACTGTAGTTGGACACCTGCACCCAACTCTATTAACCATGTGAATTTGGCCTTTTCTAACACATTGGGACCCTGTGCCTGGGGTAGCTCGGAACGTTGGGGACCTCCTTCTGTAGACACGCTAAGTAGTAGGTGTTGCCACAAGATGGCACGATAGAAAGCTCACAGCTGCTCTTTGTTTTGATTTTCTCCCCTTGGTGAAATGCTTTATTTTTGTGGTGACAGTTGTTTATGTGTAGTAGAACAGACAGAAGCCTGACTCATGCCTCAGTGTAGACTTCTGACTTTAAGCTCCGATGGCAGTCATCTTCATTTTCTGTAGTTACAAACTTTCCTCCACTGAGATGTCCCCTTGATATTGCTTGCATCCACTCTGCTCCCGCAATAGCCCACTGTCTGTACACTGGATGCAATCTCTGTTCTGTGATATCTGTCATCAGCCTTCTCCCAGACCAGATCCTGACCTGTCCCTTTGTTACCTCTGTGTTGGAGAGCTGGAACCATGGTTGCTTCCCATAGGTAAAGATCTCCCACAGGATAACCCCAAAGCTCCACACATCACTCTCTGTGGTGAACTTCCGGTACATGATGCTTTCAGGAGGCATCCAGCGGATGGGGAGCATGGTGTGTCCTCCTACCTAAAAAGGGTAAAGACAGAGGCACAAAGAGTTATCAAACAGACCAAATCAACCAGAAGTCTCTACCTTTCTTATATAAATGCACCCTCCATGCATTGTATCCTAACGTGGACATGCTTTAGGTAATCTGAACTCAGAGGTGAATAGAGATGCTCACATCAGTGAACAGCATACTGAAAACACCTATAGGTCAGACCTGAGGGGAGAAGGCAGATTTCTTAACAATGAGCATAAAAATTAAAAGGTGATCTGAAGTGAGAGAGACCTAAGAGCCTGGTGCTAGAATAAAATCTTAAAATCTCCCTTAAAGGAAACTGAGCCAGGAGAATCATGGTGTGAACTCCAGGCATCAAAGTGGCCACAGGCATTGAGATAGACCCCTTGACAATGGTAATCAAAGCACAAATATACACTACGGACAGCTAATCTGTAGATTATTAATTTCTTCTCTCGCTTAAATTTTTCATCACAACGTAGGATCTACGTTTCATGTGAACAGGATAGAGACTTCAAGATCCCCCTGATGCTCATGTGTTACTAAGAGATCGAGTGGAGACAAAGAAGAGTCTTCAAAATGCTTGGTAAGATCCATCATGGAGGATATGGTCTTTAAAATCAGCCTCAAGAGACACTCTTAGTGTTTACCCATGAGAGTCAAGGGTAAGAGAAAGTGACCGAGAGGGTCAGACATTTGGGTTATGATTGAGGGCGAAGCTCTGCATAAATATTCACTAGCCGGTGGGTTAGAGAGACCAGCCCACATGAAAGAAAGTGCACAGCATGTTCCAAGACTCAGGCATGGACTGCATTATTACCAAGCAGAATGTCAGAAGTTGGATTAGTAGGTGAAATTTGTTACGAAAGTGCTGGCTGTTGGCATGAAAAGGAAGGAGTTCTGTGTTGTGTGGCCCAGTAAACTGCTAACATGAACATCTTTCCCTGATGGACCAGTTGGATGGATGTCAGCAATGAGCACTGGGAAGTGGATGGCTAAGGAGGTGGAAACCTCCTATCTGAAAGGACAGAAAGTGAGTGTCTTATCCATTGGAAGTGCCTCAGGAGAAACCGATCGTCAGGAGTTGTAGAAAAGTCACCTGTCACCTGGGATTTCTGAAATCAGTCTACTCTCGCATGGACTGTAAAGACAAGGCAAGGTATCCCCGCCTGAGAAAGAAAGACCAGGACTCTTCACTACACACAGCCATCCAAAGAAAACGAAGCACAAACAAAATCACCAGGAATTGATAAAGGATGGTTTGAGAAGAACAGAGGAAGAGGTGTGCACGAAATGCAATGACTTGAATTCCACAACAATAGAGCAAACAGACCACAACAATGTGCAACGTAAATCTGAATAATGCTTGCTAAACTGGTGACTAAAGGTAATACAGTAACTAATAAGGACTTCCTATAAAATAGAAACATGGAGTAAGTAATATCACCAATAATGTTAACAGTACCACTGCTGCTGCTGCTCAGCTAATTATGGGGCATGAAATTTCCACACGATTTTAACTGTAAGTGCAGAGAAGAGTAGATACGGAAATAATTAAAAGCCCAATAAAGACTTTATCATTAAGAGAGAAGAAAGAACACTTATAGATACCAATCAATTATTGATCATAACAATTTACACTTAACTGCGCTTGTGAAAAACTTAAAGCAGCTTCCGGAAGAATAAAAAGTACTACATACAGCTTCCCAGTCTTTTTCAGGCAGCAGCACCAGAATCTTCCATCTTACAAATGGGGAGAGCCGCAATAATGAGCAAAAATTACAAAATGGAAGAGAAGTCTAAAACTCTGTAGATAGTATAAGCGGGTTATTACTGCCTCTAACTCGGGAGGAAATTTTAGATTAAAAATCAAGGTTTACCTTATTTAGAAAAGCTGTACTTAAAACAAAATTACAAAATACTGAAAATAAAGCAATGAGAATACAGGCAATCAAAGTGAAATATAATCAGCCATATATGAACATATGCACACACACAAGCATGAACTTCATATAGATGAATATGCAGATGTGTATGGCCAATTAAATTTCCTTTATTAAGGAACCCTGAATGTCAGCAATTTAATATTAAAAAAAGCTTATGTCATGTTTACTTCAATTGACTATTATATACAAAGTTGAAAAAATTCAACATTATGATAATCTTGAACTTGTGTTCTCAGGTACGACAATAGTATTACGTGAAATATACAGAGATCTTTACATTTGTAAAGAACAAAATATTATAAGACTTAAAAACCGATGAAGCAACCACAATGGAAAACTAATACACACTAAAATTATTTTTAATTACAAACTCCAACCCTATATTAAACCTCAAACACATCTGAAATTTCAAAGGAAAAATAAGTCCATTATAAGAACAAGAAACATCTCCCTTACCAAATAAAGCTGGAAATGACAACAAAGGATCAATCTATTAAAAGGTTCACTGGGAGCATCTAAAATGATATTTGGTGAAAACAATATTTAAAACTATTTTTAGAGCATGAACTTACCATTGAACCCTATGAAAAAAATGGGGTAATCTTAAGAAAAATATGTAGAATTTGAGTAGTTTTATATAACTACACTAAGAAAAGATTCAGTTTTGAAAGGAAGTAGACCCTATAAAATATATAAAGAAAATAAAAAGAAATAAACAATAAAAACAAAATTTAAAAATGAAACTGATTTGGTATAAATCAAAACAGTGCCCAAACAAACAGAGATGAAAAAGACAAAACTCTCACTCGATCTACGTAATAAATTGCTTGCCTCCAAAGTCATAAAAATCTTTGTCCAGGTTAATAAATAATGTAGAAGAGAAAACTGTAAAATACTAAAATTAAAAAATCAGTAATTCCTAAAATACAAGTTCAATGACTGGTTTACTGGAAAATATTAGTGAAAATCTGAAAATATAGAAAATTTGAGAACAAAATATTAAATTTACAGCAAATGAAATACACATGTGATGAAAACAAAAAGATGGTCTTGTGAGTCCTACTAAGGTTTCTTGATCTGTATTTTTCCAATGTAAAAAGCACAGACACTTTCTCAAACCATTCTCTATGGCTTAAGTTTCTCTAAAGGCAGAATTGGTCTAACAACATAGAACCTCAAATATATAAATACAGATAAAGAAATTGTATCTATATGCACTAATAGAGCTATCTCTGTTCCAAACATAAATGCCAAATCTGAATAACTTATTGTATTATATTCAAAATATACCACAAGAAAAACAACTTTAGGAAATCTACTATTCCATTTGCCTAATTAAAAAGTAAATAAAGAAAAAGCATTCTTTCAAAAGATATTAAAGTTATTGTTTTCTGGTTGAAATCCCTAATCTATGAATAAGGAAGAAAAATTCTTTTAATTAACAGGTTCAATATCACAATGCCTGAAAAACCCTAGAACAGAAAGGTCATTTTTTCCTTGATTTTGCAAAGCTGTCCAGGAAATCCTAGGCAATGTAGCAAAGTAATTATTTTGTTAAATGGACACAGTATCCAAACTGACTTCTAAATACATTATCTTTCTATGCCTAGATTAGTGCAACTCTCAGGCCCCAGCAGGAAAGTATCCTTCTGCAGCCCATGGTGCTTAACATAGAAACTAACAACTGGTCAACCTCCAGAGAGTAAGCGCTTGTGAAAGTTCAGCCACAAATGGGACATCTGTATCACACTCCTTCTTCAAGGCTCAGGGAAAACAAACAAGAGGGGGAGGAGAGCCAGAGGTCAGAGAGGACCAGAGCAAAAACAGTGTCTTCTGGACATCACAGGAACCATGCGGTCCTGAACTCACAGCTGCTGTGGTTCCCTGCACATGCGTCAGCAACCTAGCACGGAGGGGAGAGTAGGTCATGAGACCAAACCCCTGACTGAGGTGTTAGGGAGATTTTATGGTTTCTGAGGGGAGAACAGTCTTCTCCTAGGATAGGTCAACCATACTTCAGTGGATGGACACACAACCAGAACAAAGTCAAGTCTATGAGTTACTATATTTTGAAAAGGAGGTCACAAAGTTTGTGGATTGTGGAGCTAAGATATATCCGGAAGGAGTTACAGAGAGAAGTCAGGCATAAATATGATCATACAGATGGTATGAAGAGTTCTCAAAGAATTAATAAAATATTTATGTCTAAAAATAAATATATAATAAAATGTTAAAACAAGAATCAAAATTGCTGTCTGGAAATAGCATATTATTCAAAACAACTAACTAAAAAGAAATTGAAACTATTATAACTCAGTAAGAAATCCAAATAGAAACACAATAGACAAACTGCACCTAACAATACCATAGTAACTCAAAACGGAATTGAAAAATAAAACTGTATAATATCAAGAAAGTGTTTAAAACTCTGAGACATAACTCGGCTTTAGATGTATATGTCTGTTCAGGCAAAAGAATACAAAAGAGGACCCACTTAGATGCAGTTATATCATTTTCTTCAATTAAAAGGTTTGGTGGGATAAGCCTCTCATTTATTCTTCAAATATAATTTCAAACTTCAGTGCAATATAAATTTAAAAAGCCCCAATGGAATGTGTTATGGGAACTGACAAAAGGAATCCAAACTTTATCCAGAGTACTGATTGCTTAATTAAAGACTTGTTGAACTAGAACAATGATGGGGATTTGTTTCATCAGATAAGTAAAATATTTTATTGCACTATGTAATGAACACTCTGAGTTTTGCATAAGGATAGACAATATATTAGTGTAACAAAATAGAAAGCCTGGAAGCAGAACCATGTATAAATACTAGCGTTTAATATATGAAATGATGGGTTAGTAATTAAAGTGTTGGGACAATGAACTATTCATTTAAAAAATACACTTAGATACCTACCTCACACCATATACAAAAATCATTTCCAGATGGATTAAAGAGCTAAACATAAAAAACAAAACAATAAGAATATTAGAAGAAAACTTATAAAGGTATTTGTATAACCTCAGGAGTAGAAGACCTTCCTACATGACATACACTTAAAAAGTCATAAAGGATATAATTTATAGACACAATTTTGTAAAATTAAATAGCAAAGACAAAATTCATAATCAAAAGACAAATGACAGAAATATCTGCAACATATGTAACATACAAATTATTATAATCATTACTACTAATAATAATTTTTGTAAAATAGTCTTGCTATGTAGCCCCAGGCTGGCCTGGAAGTTTCTGTGTAAACCAGGCTTGCCTCAAGCTGGAGGAAGTCCTTCTGCCTCTGCCTCCCCAGTGCTGGGACAGACAAGGAATTAAAATCCATGGGATTCACGGCAGTCCTTTACATTGGTTAGACAAGCAAACTGACAGACAGATGAGGAAAGACTAAGAGCAGACAAACCACAAAATAGCTACAAATGGCCACAAACAAATGAAGAGATGCCAGGTAAAAGAGCATAGACATGTATTTAAAAGACATTTGATAGAAAGGGAAAAGAAAGGTTGCTATCTGATGCTGGCGAAGGTGTGAGGCTTGATGTTCTGATGCCAGTGGTGAGACTGGAATCGGCTTCTGAAGGTACAGTTTTTGTTTTATCTGACCCACACTGATGTTGCAAGAGTCTGGAAATCCATCAGTTTCACTGCAGAAATAGTAGAAAACTATTTCCTTGTGTGTAGGCAAAATTATTTGGTTCAAGGGCTTCCTTTGTTGCTTCTAAAAGCACGGATATGCTCATTTTCAAAGGTATATATGAAAGTTAAAACAGAATGCAAAAATGCTACTTGTACTGATATCTAATTATGTCCAAGACAATAACTGTAGTAGAAGAAAACATAATTTATTGATAAATACACTTCGTCATTCTCGTTCATGTAAAATGGAAATACGTGAACATAATAAAATACACAGTAATCGTGTGTGATGTTGTGGATGACATGAAGGAGCCCAGAAATATACTAAGCCGTAATTTTCTCTAGAGATGCAAGTAAGAAAGTCCCAGTTTTTGTTATATGTATCTCTATAGTGTTTGAAATTTTACAATGATCACATAACGCATTTTAAAATTCCAAGATAAAATCGAACACAAACATTTGAATATACAGACAGAAACCAGCAGATATAAGTACACATAAAAATATCAGTTTTGTAAAAGAAGTATGTTTGTGATATAATATGCGAGAATGGTTGTCTCATCGGAGCTTATGACTGAAAAGGAACAGAAATCTGTGATGTACCAACACATCACCCTGGGTGTATAATTTTAAATAATGGAACCCTTCACTTGATGCTAGTATGTGTCTCGTTGGTGGTTTTTTATATACATTACAGAGAACATTTTAAATTCAAGTCTCTGTATTCAAGAGTGTGGGGTGCGAACCATGACGGGTCTAAGTGTTGGAGCAGACAAGTGTCAGAGGAACACTAGCTGGTCACAGGGGCCCCCTTTAGAAGACTCTTGAGTAACACCACCGTTGTGGGTGAAATTTATGCTCCATTCTTCAAGGAATAAGGTCCCTATAATTACAAAACCAGTCCCAAATTTTAGTATGATCTTTGATGAGTACTCAGCCTTTAGGAACTTAAGTTTCGTCACCTTCAAAATATGAATTAAGCAACAAAGCTGCCTCAGAATCATGGCTACAAAACCGTACTGGGTATCACTGGTGCAGAGATGTGCACACACATCTCACTGTATACATCTTCACATAGTCCTGGACAGCATAGCAAATCTAACTTCCTTTATTGTTCTTAAGAACTCAAATTGATTTCCTTCCAGCGGAACTAGAAGACTAAGTCTGGGAAAGGCAGTGGTCTAGTAATTCATAATGATAAAACGCTCACGACAAATATCTCCACCCTAAAACCTACCCAGACAAAAGCTATCAGGACGCCATAGTCTCAGAGATAAGAACAGTACTAATTAATGAATAATGATGCCATATAGTCTCTTATTTCATCCTGTCCCTATTCCTGGGCAGCAGGTGCCTCTATCGTGCCCACTTCTCAGAAGAAAATAGGATGACTTGTCCAAGCCTTGCATGAATAATATCAGCTTGTGTCAGAGCTGTCGAAGGGACAGCTTCAAAGATCTTCAAGCTAATCCTGCAAAAGGGCAACATAAACTATTAAGATCCAGGAAATATGCCGAATAATAATTCTTAAAAAAAAAAAGTCTAGGAAATGAAACTTGGAACTCTTGGGAACAATGCCCTGTCTGCTTTGGGACACCTTCCATTGTCCATCACGGCTTTCCTCTGTTCTCTCTTAGACACTCTCACGACCAACAAAGGTGGGAACTAGGAAACCTAAAAGGAGGAACTGCATAGGAGAGGCTTTGTTCATTGGGTTTAGATGCCAGTCTATAGAAATTAGGTGGTCACGGGATCCCAAGACCTGTTCTTTTGTTTCTCTCACTGAACCTGTACAGGATTCACCAGGGTTTTTGCTTCTTAGACCATCATGTATGTCGGGTTAAGACTATGACACTTCTCTAATTATTAAGTCCGCTTCCCAGGAAAACCATCATTCCAGACACAGGGGCATCAGCATGAAACAGCATGAGTCACACTATCTCCATAAAATTCTCCTTAAAACCAGAGACCATGAAGATTTTGAAGGAATCCAGACCCCTAGTAAGGATACCAGATAGGTGACCAACTCCAGTTTCAGATACCCATTCCAAAGGCATTTGTTAGCTACGGAGCTATAACAGTAATCAACTGTTCCCAAACCTACACGAAGCAGGGAAACCTCCTCTGGACCTTCTGTCCAAGCAGCTTCCTGGTGACCCTGTTCCCTTGCAGTGGATAGAACTTGACTCATTACCCACTAAAACCGTGCTAACGGCGCTCACAATATGACTCCCATATCAGTAAGGCTTTGGATAAAACAACAAGACGCCCAGATAAATTTCAATCTAAAACAACTAAGTTATATCCATGAATGCTACATAGGACACACGGATAACTAAGAACATGGGCTTTGTCTGAAGTTCCACTCCAACAAGGTATCTTGTGTTTTGTTTTGTTTTGTTGTTTGTTTTTTTTTTCCTGATAGCAGACAACTCTAGTTTCCAGACCCATGTGGGAATAGCAGGTGTACCCCACAGTCCCCTTTTCTTTTCCTCCTCATCTTGTCTGGTCTCACCCTTGCTCTAAAAGATATAGATGAGCTCACTGTCCCATGTACCACAAAGCGCCTGCTCTCTCCTCCAATGCTTTCCCGGTACGTTCTACCTGTTTTCTCGCTGGCCGTGAGTGCGGCCCAGACCAGAAAGACATGGTAGCTGTGGGTTTCCTCCATGAACAGAGCTCTTCTCTCTCCTACCTACAGATCCTTGGGCAAATCATTTGTCTTAATCTGAGATTCAATCCTCTTACTAAAAAACAGGCCTCCTGAGTCCAATCACCTCTCACGAGTGTATGCCAGACTTGTTAAAATGCAGAAACCTGGGATGTTCCCCAAATTCAGTGAACTAAACAAGGCTCATTGAGCTATGCCTTTTTTCCCATAATAGTCAGTAAAGACTTATGGCACACATGATATATATATCATATACATATATATCAATCATCATATAAGTAGCACATGCTAATGGGTCGCACCCCTGGCATTCCTCTTTCCCTATGATCTATAGCGGCTTCCACACTGCAGGGGCCAAGAGAGGAATCGCTGCAAAATAAAACACCTTAATGCTGTGAAAGAGTTGCTACTTGTAAAACCTAAAATATTTTCTATGTCATCGTTTACAGATAAACGCTGAGACGCACTGAATTAGACTCAAAGGGGTAGGCACAGTGGAAGCTACAGTTGAGGATAAGATGTTGAAGCATTATCAAACTACCATTAATCACTTAGCATCAAATACCACTCAGTGATTTGTGTATGTGTGTGTGTGTGTGTGTATGTGTGTGTGTGTGTGTGTAGTTGCATACATGTGCTCATGCATGTATGCCAAAGAGGGTGCTCTTGTAAAGTTGGATCAATTTAGCAGTGTTTCTTGGGGTCTCAACCTTTGCTCTCATCTTCTTGGGTCATTTGGGCCACTGCGTTTCTCATGTTCTGGATTAGTTCATTATATTCCTTAGAGTTTAGATTTTCTTTATTCCTAACACCCGATTGGTGTAGGAGGTCCTTCTGTATTTTTGTTGCTTTTATTGGTGAATAAAGAAACTGCTTTGGGCCTGGTGATAGGGCAGAACTTATGTAGGCAGGGAGACAGAACTGAATGCTGGGAGGAAGAAAGCAGAGTCAGAGAGAGCCGCCATGGAGCTGCCAAGTCAGACATGCTGAATCTTTCCTGGTAAGCCACAACCTCATGGTGACATACAGATTATTAAAAATGGGTTGAATCAAAATGTGAGAGTTACCCAATAAGAGGCTAGAGCTTATAGGCCAAGTAGTAATTTAATTAATACAATTTCTATGCGGTTATTTCCGGGGCTAAGCTAGTCAGGCGGCGGGACGCAGCCTGCTCCTCCTATTACGCCTGATTGTACCTGACTAAGTATTTACAGTCAGGATCAGAGCCAAGTTCATAAATGCTGCTATGTGCTTCCTCTGAAACACAAAGTGAGATGAAGTATATATCTCTTTTATTTATCAGTGAATAAAGTCTGATCATTCACTATAAAATCCCCTTTTACCTAGTGATGTTACTGATGATTAGTGCCCCAATCCATTATTTTATTAGTGGTTCAAAAGGATGACATCCTAATTATACCATTCCTTCTACTTCTATTAGCAGGAAATCTATAAGCAAAAACTTCCCTTCATCTGCCATGTGACTACCGATTACAACTTATATGAGTTAGGCAAGATGGCTGCTTGACTGTTTCCCTTTATTGGCTAGATGTTAGAACAGCGAATTCATCCCCCTAGCATTATAGTTTGAAGGCAGTTTGAACGCAGAGGCTTGTGTATTTGAACGCTTGGTCCC